TTTTTAATAACTTATCACCATCTTGTTGTAACTGATGATGAACAAAGCATACACCAATCAAGAACACGTGGAGGCAAAGTAATCCACTTTGTTTTAAGAAAAAGAATAGCATGGGGAGCCTAACCTTAAAGGACGGAGACAGGCATACAACTAATAAGCTAGTATGCAATAAGGACGCCATCATTCCTTTGTACATGGGATGATGGTGTCCTCATTGCATGAGTGATTTGCTCCAAGTCTATCGTCTCTCCAAGTGAGAAATATGATTAAGATGAAGGGATTTTCAAAAGCAACATCTACTCATGGCACTATGCTTTTAATGGGGTAATGCATGATGATCTTGCCTAATATGGTCTTAATGGACGTGTTAAGGTTAGTAACTAGTCATCAGCTACTCTTTTATTGTCGATTGTTGGTACAAAAGTGTTGGAATGGCAAGTGGAAGCATTTGGCTCTCTTGTTAAAGGTCTTCGTAGTGGATTAGATTTGTTGGTGCTTTTACAGAAGCAAGGGCATGTTATCTCTTTATTACATAAAGTTTTTAAACTTCCGATGCTAAATGGTAATGATGGTTTGATAAATATCTTACCCAATTTAAAGAAGCTATAAATAGTGACTTCCCAGATTACCAGAACCATGATGCAATAAACAAGGATGTTGAGATATTGTTAGCACTAATTGAATTATTTACTAGGAGAACTAATCAATGGTCAGAAGTCATTCCCTACATCTGTTGCATTGATGTGCTAAGATCTTTTGCGGTCACTACAATTACATCATCTGTTGCCATGGCTAGACCTGTTGTTTTGCCTGAATCAGAACTTTTTACTTTGGACCAAGAAACAAGAGGACCAATACTCGAAATTAGAGGGCTATGGCTTCCATTTGCTCTTAGGGAGAATGGAGTACTACCTGTCTCAAATGACATTTCTGGGTGAGGACATAGATGGTTGTCATCCCTGTTGTTTGATATTGACTGGACCTAATATGGATGAGAAATCAACTCTTTTACGTGCAAGATGTCTAGTTGTTGTACTTGCACAGTTAGATTGTTTTATGCCTTATGAGATGTGCTTCCTCTCACTGTAAATATTATTTTCACAAGGCTTAATGCTAGTGATTGTATCATGATAGGGGAAAGTACCTTCGTGGTTGAATGTATTGAAACTACTTAAGTTCTTCGAAATGCTACTCGAAATTCTCTTGATGAACGGGGTCGAGGAACAAGCACTTTAATTAGAAATGCAATTGCATATATTGTATTTCGTTTTCTTATTGAAAAGGTTACTTGTCGATTACTATTGGCAACATACTATCGTGCTCTCGCAAAAATTTGATTCACATCCTTGTGTTATACTGTATCCAAATTCAACCTTGAGGACAAGGTTGATGGTCAAGGGGAGGAAACCATCTATGACGTACTATAAAAGAAGGTTAAGGTTAGAACGGAGAAATAGAAAAACCGTTTGAGTGACTGTTTCTTGCTGGCTTTTCGCCCATTGCAACCTCCAGGCACACTTGGAGGTTCCGCTACCCTTTTTCGCTTATTTTATCTGCCATTTGCAACCTATAAATAGGCATGGTTTCTATAAATGAAGGTATCAAAGAATCAATTACCTCAAAGCAACAAATCTCTCTCTTTCTCTATTATCTTCTTCCTTTTGCTCTAATTAGAGTTATGAACTTTCTATCAAAAAATAACGAAATACCATAAATCTAGCTTAGATACAACATGACTTGAACTCCAAACATCAAAATGAACCACCATGAAAGGACAATAACTCTTTTATTAAAATGAGAAACAAAAGGAACACAAGAATGTTTCATCATTTGACAAGACATAATATTATGGAAATGTGCTTAAGTAAGAACTAGCTTCCTTAAATTTTCTAGAGAAAGATAAGCCAAACAACTAATTTAAAGAGTGACTACTACAAAGCTGTTTATTAGAGAGTAAGAGGAAAGTAGTACAAGCCCTCATATTCGCATACTTCACTGCATGTCTTCAGATACTAAATAATAATAGAATCGGGTTAGGAACAAGCACAACAATTTAGGTATTCTGCTTATTGAATAAAGGCATAAGATTACATTGAGAGTTGGGAGTGTGAAAAGCAGAAGATGGGATAAGAGATGATCTAGGCAAGTAGTCCTAGACTACTAATGGGAACTTTGCTCTCATTTTCCGAAGTAATTATAGGAGACTAACTAGATTTGACCTGATATGTGGTTTGTGAGAGCAGAATTTATCACCCACATCATTGGAATAGAAGAAAGACAAACAGTATCATATAGTTCCATAATTGAGGGAAAAAAGACAACAAAAACAGAAGATTCTTTGATGCTTGATACTAAAGGAACTCTAGAAGTAGCCTTGTGGTTCAATCACATTCTTTAACAAAGTTACCTATTCAATATGGTTTACCAACTAACTTCCTGCATTAACCATGTCTATGATAATCTTTTTAACTTACACAATAGATCCTGTCTGAAACAGCCACCTAAATTTTATTTAAAACAACCATCACGACTATCTTGAACACGACCACCATGACCAAAATTTCCTCCCCCTCAACCACCACTGTTCGCTCGAATAACCAAGATATGATTGGTTTGGCTTGTATCTTGGGAGATGTGACCTTAGAGGAAGACCACAAAACTCATTCATAAACTTCGGTAAACGAATGAAGCTAACAAGCTCAAATGCATAGTTACTACTTGCTCCTGGTGCTAAGCATTGCCTTCAGTTAACTGTTATAGGTTATTTTCAATCCTCCATTAAGTCATTGCAGTCTAGAAAAGTAGAATAATGATTTATTCACTTTGCAGAGCCATAAATAATTCTACAAATAAAATGTACGTACTAGTCATGTTGCTCGCATACAATAGCATGACATAATCCTTATTTCCTTGCATGAGTCAAGCTGAGTGTAGGTCAGCAACATGAGTCAAGCTAACTCTGGTACTATATTGTGAAAATTATTATAAATTTTTTTATGTATTAGAAAAAAAAAGGTAAATAGGAATTCTTTTGCCAAGGAAAAGAAAATTGTGAATAGGAAGAGTAACTATATAAGAAAAAACTATACTAAAAAATAATTGTATAGGAAATATGTATGACATTATAACAATGATATTACACTTCAATCTCTCTCTCGTAGATGTTTCTCTTTTTACACATGTACTTGTGTGTTGCGCTCTTGTTTGTTCACATGTTACATGATCATCACTATATGAATTAACACCATTATTTTCCTCCACATAGGTTTCACAAGATTCTGGAGATCTTTGCTTGGAGAAAGTTTTTGAACTTATAACTGAGGGTGAAAATCTGGCAGTTTACTTGGAGAAAGAACTTAAGGTATAAAAAGATGGAGACTATTACAAAATTAAATAATATTTCTTTGTATAATAGTGTAACTATTAGTAGTTGACTTTCCATATATATTAGTAATTATAGACAGCAAATTAATAGCCTAATTTATGTTAGTTACCTTATATAGATCTCTCTATATTTGTATATATCTCTAATCTATTGAAATGA